TGAGGCAAGTTTCTATGCTTTACATACTCTCACTATCATTTAATTTGCTTTTTTGCGCTGTATTTTAGATGTATGTTTATGCTTTACACACACACACACTATTGTTTCATTCTTTCTCTTTATGATATTAATGAACTTATTCTGTTTAAGGCTTTACTTTGAGTGAAATATTCCCTGTATGGGTTGTATGAGAATTGAGAACAGCCAGAAACCTTTTATTTTTATTTTTTATAATACATAATATGCTTGTTTAGGTCATTTGTTTTTTTTGGGGAAAAATAGAAAGAAATATAAATCATATGTTATGTATCCTAAATTAATAAGTAGTGGGATAATATATTTATTTGTTTGGATTTGTCCTATTGAAATTTGTATCTGTGAACCTGGTACAATTTATTGGTGAGTTTTCCCTAGTTGGTATATTATAATGAACTTGTATTGGAATGAGAAAGCTGGGTCGTTTTATTGGTCTCTTCCCTAACTCCCCTCCCTCCCCCTTTAATCGCTTTAATTCCAGAGACCCAGTGCTAAGGAGCTTCTTAAACAGCGGTTCATTCGGAACGCTAGGAAGAGTCCAAAGCTTTTGGAGAGAATAAGGTATGAATTATTGCTTATAACCTTGCTATATTTCGTGTACTTAATTCTACTTATTTTTCCTTTAGCTGTTAAGGTGTTTTTTTAACCACTTCTTCCTTTTCCATTTTATTTGTTGGTAAGTTAATATATATTTGAATTCAAAATATGTTTGTTTGATGTAACAATTGAAACCCTATTCCCTATCCATTTTCAATGCTTTCCATGACCAGAAAATAAGAAGAATTCAATAATTCTTCAGCTTGTTATTGACAGCATGCTTTGTGTTTTCATGAAAGGGAGCGTCCAAAATTCCAAATAAAAGATGATCAAGAGGCACCTATAAATGCGCCAAGGGGGATGGGGGATGCATCTGATACTATTAAGGCTGCAAGAGATTTAAGGAGTGATGAAACTAATCAGCCTAGGTAGGTTACAAGTGTAAAGTTACTGTTTTTTATTTTACATATTGAATTTTCTGATAGACTTTTTCTAATTTGCAGTGGTCAAGGTAAATCCCTAAAAAATTCTGGCTGGGACTTCAGCATTGGTGGATCACAGGGTACTGGAACCTTTCGTAGTGTGTCACGACCACCTCAGTTTAGAGATAAGAAATCTGAAGTTTTGAATCATCAGCTTAACCAAAGAAAAGGTCCAGAGAGTGGCTATCAAGGGGGATCTGCCAATAAAAGTGCACTTAATGAGTCACAAGAAACTTCTTTTGGAAAAGATCTTGGAGTTCCCTACCATGATGAACATCCAGATAATCACCTTGAAGATGTAAATGACTTTCACTGTCTTTCTTTTTCAAAGAAGTTAACTTCAATTAAATGATATATTGAGCACATATCTCTCCAATAAAGGAACGTGGGGCCCTTTTCATATGTTTCTAAAACATTGGATCTGTGATAAATTCTTCGCTAGCAACGAGTTGTATTTAACCAGCTGCATTTTTTTAGATATTTATATCTGAAGCTGACAAAGTTCTCTCTCCTTGCTTCCCATTTAGCAGACATATAAACAACAATTAAAATGCCTACAACAGTATAATCATTTAAAGAGTTCCCCATGAACTAGGTTGAACTTAATTTTTTAAACTTGAACATGCTGTTATATACTGAACTCGTCCATTTAGCAGGATGAATTGTCTGGGAATGGATCAGGAACTGTTGTTATTCGGTCTCCAAAAGGACCACAGCAATCACTGTTTCGTGACCAAAGTTCCCGGGTATTTTTCAAGCTGAGTTTTTTTAATTCAAAATTGGCAACTTATTATTGCTCCTCAATGCATTCACTTATTAAGAATTTTATTGTCACATAGTCTAGCAGCAGCTATGCTTCTTTTGAAGATGTTTCTACTAGCGGGACTGTTGTTTTGCGTAACCAGTATGATGATAGCGATTCTCCACAGACACCAAGGTCCAGACTGGGACTTAATAGCAGAAATTCAAATGCTTCACTGGAAGATAGTGCTACAAATCTTGCTGAGGTTCTATTTATTTTTTTATCTAAGCTGTAAATTTCACTTGTATGTTAATTGTTGGCGAGACAATTTGCCATTTTCTCTTTGGAAGGAATTCTATTACTTGGTCATATCAAAATTGGTTATCTTTAAAATATTTTTCTTGCCTATTTTTCTTTGTAGGCAAAGGCGGCTATCCAAGGTGGATTAAGGAAAGTGAGTGCCCGGGAGAGATTTGCCCTGGGAAAGCTCAACAACGATGTACAGGAAAACAGGAGAGATCAATTGTCAAGCAGTCCTGGTTCTTCCAGGTACATTCATTGCCATAATGCTGGTAGATGGTAAATATTGATTGAGATAAAAATGTCGTTTTTTATATTTTAAGCAATATTTTTTCAGACCATCCCGTGAATATATAGATGCACAGAAGGGAATTTCAAGATCACATTCTGCTAGTGATGATGAAGAAAGTGCCAAAATAATCTCATCCTCTGTGCCATTGTCTGGTTTGCTTATTCCTTCATTAAAAGAGGTGAATGCACGCATGGTTCTAATTGTATTATGGCTTGCTCTTGTTTTAAATTAGTGTGATGCCAGATAGAGCTGCTATTGATATTGGATATGATACAAGGCTTTTCACTTAGAACTGTTTCAGATATAATTCCTTTCTGATAAGGGCTGTTCTCTGAATTTTTGTTACATATGCTGGAAATACTAAGGCATTAGTGTCTGTGGAAATGAGGCAAGATTATGATACACCATTGACTTTTCTGAAAAGATTAAAATGATTACTAATCCTACTTGATGAGTTTTGGTACTCAAACAGTAATGCTTTCTCAAAATAGAAGGAAAGGAAAAAAAGAAAAATAATTAAATAACCAGCAACATCTTAGGATGTTATTTCTGGGCTTGGTGGGTGAATTTGGCCCGAGTAAATACGCTTTAGTAACTTAATTGTAGCTAGAGCATATTTTTGGTTAGTTATTATGAATTTTGTTACAGTATGTGTTTATTATGTAGGCGATTGCTGATGATCCAGAAGGGTCAATTGTGCAAATTGTTATAGATGCTCTTGTGAACATGGAGGGGACAAAGCCTCGATCTTGTGATGCACTTGTCAAAAAGTTGCTTCAGCGGTTGGCAAGGTTTGCATTCTACTAACATTTATTATGCAACATGCTAGAGGAAATTTAAATGTGTATCTCTTATTATTGATGATAGTTCACACTTCACAACCTTGATATAACAATTTGTGCAGTTCAAAAGAAACTTCATTAAAGGACATGCAAGAACTGGCTGGCCAAATATTCAGAAACTCCAAGTCAGCTGAAGAAACACGAAATGCCGAAGCTGATAACAAGAAGAAACAAAACAAGGAACTTCATTCAAACAGCAATTTAAGCCCTCTCGCGAGATTTCTTCTCTCAAGGTTTGTGGAAAGCTATCATTTCACTGTTTTATTAATATTAAAGGAGTGTTTATTGCTACTTTGATGTGTTGAAATTCACTCCTATATAAATAATCTTTCTAGTTTCTTTAAACTCTTGGTTTGATTAATAAATAAAAAAGATATTGTAGATAAGAATTAAGATGAAGTATGTTTTAGTCCTTGAAAATAGGACAATGTTCGTTTTTAGTCCCTAAAAAGTAAATTCTCTCCTTTTCGTCCCTCATTTATGAAATTGTAGCACGTGATTCCTGAGAGTTTATGAAAATGTATCACATGTGATTCTTGTCCTTTACAAAAAATTCGTCTCTTTGGTTTTGTGGAAATAAAAATTACTCTATCTCTCTATCGTAAGTGAAAAAAACTAATTTCATACATATGAAGAAAATTAGTCGTCTGGATTAAATTTTAATAGTTCCATAATATTCTTCCTACATTATCTTTGTTATAAATGCGATAAATGCTAGAATAAATAGCTCAACTGGAAGGTAAAGGTACTTTAGAAAATATCATTAAATGAGACAAAATTAGTTGAAATTTATTTATATTTAAGAAAAAAAAATGTATAAGTAATACATATGATACATTATGGTAAATGAAGGACCAAAGTATGATTTTTTTTATAGAGAAATATGAATTAAAAACATATTTAATCTTATGAATTATTTAAATAGAAGTGACAATAATGCATGGGAGTGACAATAGGAATGCTTTAATAAAGGTAACAATTCTTTTATCGGTGCTCCATGTCCTTGACTTTGGGACTGGTAGCCTGTCAGGAAACATAAAATTTCTGATCAAATCACATTTACCCTTGTACATTATATGTGGCTTAAAATATGCTTATGAATAATATGGTTTTTATTTTACAGATGGCAAGGCCAAACATCGCGGGATCTAAGTCCTGCTTGAGCGGAGATAGAAGTTAATTTTTGTGTGGAGTTTTTGTTTCTACATTTATTCTGATTAAATGTACATATATGGTTATTATTATATATTTTTTTTCCTTTATAAATTTTTTCTCATAGTGATAGGGACACCATTGTTGTATAATTCGTGGTGTTTGCTGAGTTACATCAAAATTGTACCTTAATACATTGATTCCTATTTACTAATAGTTGTATCTTTTGCATCTTGAGATGAGCCAACTCATGAATCATCTTTGTTTTCTCCGAAATTAAGAAAACTCATCTACTTTTGATTTGTTTATGTCTGGTACTGCTTTAGTTTTTTGAGCCTGTTTTTCATTTCACAAAGTATCATCTTACTGAAAATTGTGCCATTCCTTCTATTGCCATATGAAGAAATGGGTTTTGATTTTTTTTAATCATTTGTAACAAGCCTAAATAATTTATTAAATCTGTACTAACGAGTACAGTGGGTGTGGTAAATGATAGTCATCATGAGAATGTAATTTTAAGCGTCAAGGTTGTTTTGTTTAGAATGTAATTTTATTTAAAGAAATGAAAATTGTTATCCTTGTAAAGTTATCTGACAGTTTACACTTGTATATATATAAATGGTCAAGATTACAAGCTAATTAATAATCATACGATGATTTTAAAAAATCATGTATATTTTTCTTTTAATTTTGAGCATTAATGTTATAATGATTTATAGGTGAAAACAGTACAATGAACGTGTAATCCATGATAGATGCATCATATTGCAGTGCGGAATAATTTTGGTGTTGAAATAATAGATGTATTTTTTTTATTGTTTTAGAAAAATGAAAAATATAAATATTCGTTTCTCAATTTTAATTAAAGAAAAATTTAATTCCTATAATATGGATATTTTTTAATCCATTAAAGAATTTCATCAGTTTTCATCCTTCATTAGTTTTCTATCAATTTCTTGCGGTAGCCATGGCATCCACATGACAAAGTGATGTGTATGTTATCATTTAAAAAATATCTTTTGTCCTTAATTTTTTTTTTTAATTTTTAATTTCGGTCTTAGTTATCCAAATTTCAATTTTTAGTCCTTCAATTTTGTAAACTTCCGATATTTTTTTCATCTACTTATTATACCCCCATATTATCATAATTTGCTCAAATGTTGTTAGGCATTAGGAATAAAAGATGAAAGTAAAACCATATAGTTTGCTGTTAAAACAAACATTTGACCCAAATTCAAATTGGACTTTAGAACCTTCAAGATAGGCCTGTTTTCCAGTACTCTTTAGCTGGAAATTGAGTTTCAACACTTGGAACTATTTCCACAATCTCTATAAACTCTATTAATATCGGTGACAAGGTTTCAAATTTGTTTAGTATTGAAATTGAATTGTTTCTGATCATTATTTGCTTTTGGCGCTTCTTTTTGGTTTCACCAAGGAACATGTTAACTTCATGGAGTTATCATCTATTGCATGAGAAGGAACAACTTTTGAAGTTTTTTTTTTCTTAATAAACATTTGGAACAAGCCTAAATTGTTTCTTATATTTGTAATAATGAGTATGCGTGGAACCTGATAACAAGAATTGGTTAACTGATAAGGTGTTCAGCCAAGTGAAATTTCTTTAGGCAGCCAAATTTTCCATCCACAGTATTCTCCTAACATTCTCTCTTGGAAAAATTGTCATTAATCATTATTGATGCCAAAAAAGAAAGTGCATTGGCACAAAATAATAACAAGAAATTACCCCAGACATAACCGATCTCCCAGTTTTTTCTTGAAAAAGTAATACCCATAAATGTGAGTGAAGTGTTGTTAGCATTGTTATTTTCCTCAGCATCACTCTGATAAACTCCACCAGGGGGACTCTGCTGATTAATATGTGGCTGTTGCAACAAGAGTGACAACTATCAGAAACACGTTGCCTTGGTCCTCTGTGATATCCCTTCTGGTGCGCCAAATAATGTGATTTATTTTGTCCACAATAGTGATCTTTGATTTTAGTTTATCAGCAAAGGTGGTAGCATCAGTGACTGGTGAACTACGTTTTGCTATGGCACTTTCTAATATGCTTTTGATCTCTTCACTGGCTGCTATGTCTAATGATGTTTTGTTCTCCAAATTTTTAGCTTCCAAATCTATATATCTTAGTCTTTAAACATCGAATCGCCTAACATATCAAAAAATTATTGAACACCATATTGTCAGCCATTAGTAACTTTCAATAGAAAACTAAAAACCAGAGATTATTCCAATCATGAAATCAAATGTTACTTTGTTTTTACCTTTTAGATATCAAGGAATAATTTTACAAGAGGAATGCTGGCTACACTTATAGAGAGTTGTTAGCATTTCACATTTCAAGGAATGCTACACTCAAACATTCTCTTCTTAATACCCTTCTCATTCAATCTTTACAAGATGAATGCTAGCCACACTTACATAATGTTGGCTAACATTTCTCATCTCAAGGAATGGTAACAACAATTTCTCAAATATTCTCTTTCAAATACTCTTTATTTTCTACAAAAATTTGTTAAAAATCACAAATTTTGATAGTAGGATCCATCTAATAAATTTCAGTCAATAATAAAAAAAGTATTAGAAATAAAATACTCTCTCCATTTTCATAATAAGTATCTTTCTAAATTATTTTACACAAATCAAGAAAAAATAATAAATATATGTAAAAATATAAATGAAACAATGCGATATAATAATTATTTTCTAAATAATATTATGAATGGTATAAGTGAAAAAAAAGTAATTAATATTAGATCAAAAAGTTATCATAACACTTATTTTAAGACATTTTCTTCAAATACAGCATTTATTATGCAATTGAAAGAATATTAAAGATAATCTATGTAATATTTCTTGTCATCCAATCAATATAGCTAACTGTCATTCATGCATCGATAATTATTAGCCAAAAATAGATAGAAGGATACCTGTAAGTTACTGGTTAAAGCTGAAATGTGCAAAATGGTGTTACCATTCTCATCCTTCCAATTCAGTATTGCTTTTTCCACCTTCTTAGCACCTCTATGGGAGTTATCTTGAGCCAACCAAGCAAGACTTGAAGAGCTTCATACTGTTGATTTTTCACCGCAATATGTAATGCTGTCTCACTTCTAACACAGTTACATCCTGAATGAAATCAGGACAAAGCAAGAGAAAGTCAACAAAAAGGTCAACATTTCAAACTTCCCTTACAAAATGTAGAGGAGTGAGACCTTCTCTTCCTTTAGCTCTGATGAGATCTTTATTAAGTTGTGACCGTGTTGTAAGGCAAGGTGGATGGGAGTGAATCCTTGTGGATTTAGTTTCCAAGCAAATGAAGGTTTCAGTCTCATGATTTCAGTAGCAAATTGAAGGTGTCCAATAGATGCAGCAATGTGTAAAGGAGTTTCAACAAATGGTATTGAATCTATACATATACTCCAAAACATGTGGATCAGACTGAACCATTGTGTAAAGACTGTTTATGTTTCCCTCTTGACCTGCGGCTCTCGACCGGATATCGCTCATGTTTGGGGAAGTTTTTGGCTTTGATTGTTGTTGTCAATGTAGAGTGAAGAGTTGTGTGTTGTTGACACCTTTTAATTATTGTTTCAACAATGGTAATATTTTTTGGAATACAATGATAGATTCGATTTGAGGTGGGATCTTATTGCGAGTTTATTTTATTTTATTTTATTTTTAATTATAGTATTAATATAAAATATTTATTATTAAAAGAGTTAATCACTTATATATTGTTAGTGTAAAGTTTTTTACACTGACAATTAATCATATCTTTTAAATTATTTTATTTTATTAAATAAGCAAATGACATGAAACTATTAAGAGATATGATTGGTTGCCAGTGTAAAAATTAAAGAAAGTAATAATTTTTTTAATACTCCACATTTTTAATTGTAATAAAAATGGAGACTAGTGGAATTCTTAGGGATGTCGCCCTCATTCAAAGTTTTCAAACGATAAGTGTAATGACCCGCCATGGTCTCTACACTTAGTAGAATCGCACTACTACCAGTGAACTAAGAGAAATATTAAGTTGGATAACTCATACATACAGGTATAGATAAGAATAAAAATAACTAAGTTTCTTAAATACAAAATAGAACTCTATATATGTACAGTCATCCCAAAAATAATTTTTCCTAGTGCCAGTCAAGCACAGACAAAACCGTTACCCAAAATGGTAACTTTAACACGAGGATCAAACTCCCCGTCTCGTAGCGGTCACCTCAACTCCAAGCTATTCCTGACTTGCTCCCATACCAAGTATGATCATCGTAGTCCCACCACATGGAAACAGAAGGGTAAGCTAGAGTTCAAAACCAATCATACAAGTATAGAACAATAATCTATGCTACACAATCATCCAACTATCAATCATATTCATAGAGTCACACCACACACACTCTATCCAATACTACTCATGCATAAAATACAATCCACCAATCATGAAGTCAAACACCACACTTCATCATATTAATAATCATGCAATAAATGCATCTCATGACAGATATCAATGCATATCAATCATCTAATGCGTCGTCAAGCATACACCTAGGAGATCTCCCTAACAATAGAGCTGTATAAGTGACATTCCATCCTACCGAAATCACTCCAACCGTTTTCACGTCCAATGCGCCCGCTCGGTCACAGCTAAACAGGATATAATCCTCACTCGGGTTTACTCGAATGATGACACTTACACAATTGGAAGTCCAGATCCACCGTTAGGTATAACACAGCCGGGTACGGGCTTACCACGACCTTGGCATGCATAACCAAGTCAATTGTGGAGTTCGCCCACCGACTATCCACAAGGATCCACGCACCTTCCCGAGTACTTGGTTAAGGGAATAACCCTCGACCTCATACCCCACTCCAACACTAGCTAAGGACTTAGAGGAGACTCACCCAACCCAGTGGCCTATCTGAGCACCACTCTCCCAAATCCAGTGGCCTCCCAGAG